ATAAATTTATGGAGATATATATTTATATATGTATATGTGTATGTATATATGTATATATATATGTATATACATATGTATGTGTGTGTAAGTGTATATAATATATATGTGTATATATATTATATGTATGTGTAGCATGTACATTTTGAATTGAATGAGATCATCACATCTTTACTGCCCATAACTCACTCTCTGTTCTACCCAAGGTTAGCTGGTAGAGAATGCCATATAGCATTAAGCTCGCCTTTTGTACAAAATCTTTGGTGCAATAAAGAATAAAATAAAATAATAAATAAATATTCACATACCTTATCCTCTCGTCAGTCCAAAACCTTCTAAAGGTTGCTGTCAAAAAGTACGCATCTGTCCACAACCATCAGAAGGTTGCTGGTTACTTATAAACTTCAGATTCGAAACAGCCCTAGTAAAAGTATACGTATCTCCCTATAACTGGTACAACATGCAGAGAATTAAACAAAGACGGCAATTAATATCACACACGCTTCATAAACCAACCATAGAAGCTGTGAAATAGTAATACATTTATTCCGTTCAGTTGCTCGTTCTGTGACGCGGTGTCGTGTGTTTACGTGCAAAGTATTAATTGTTGAAAGTGATTTCGGAAGTCAATATTAAAGATAAACATGAATGGGTAAGTCATAAATACTTTTCTATTAATATAAAATATATTAGATGACGATTTGTACATAAATTGTTCCATTTTATCAAACATTGCTTGCCATTTCGACCGCCATGTTGAAACCATGATAGTATTAACTTCAATTGTTTTAAATTAAAAGTACAATTGTGAATGGTAAACATTGTCTTAATATCGTTAACATACTTATTTACAAACATAACAATAATTACAATTGTATAGTTTCGATTAAATATTTCACAAAACTAAAAATTACAAATTGCTTAAATCTCTCGTCCACCTGGCGGTTGTGGACAGACATGGGTCGTAAAGTTATTCACATGAAATCCGCCATCTTAGAGAGCAGGTTGTATAGTATGGATACGACTTTGGGAATGCCAGTGTTGGTATATTTTTACGATAATTTTTGGTGTGGATTTTTATTTGTTTCGTTTTATTTTTTTGTCAATAAATTGTTTTACTTTTTGTATGTGCATGTCATTATATTTTTTTGCACTTGATTGACAAGTGAAACACTCTTTGTTTTCACTCTTAGCCCAAGGTTATCTGGAAGAGATTGCTTTTTGTACGTAGTAGTTTTTATTGCTAAGCAATAATCCTTAGCTCGTTGCGGTGCTATAGTTGGAATAGCCTCAAAGTACGAAACGGTCACCCATCCAGTTGCAAGCTAACGCGTGCATTGCTTAAACTTTATTATGGATCTCGCACGCAAGCTATCACTAGGCTAGGGTCACTTCAAATTAAGTAAAATTAAAAAAAAATATCTAAATAACAAAAATATAAATCTTTATTTTGGCAAAAAGAATTGTCAAACATTTTTTATAATAACATTCAAATGTTAATTAAAAATATAAAAAGCAAAGAAAAGTAACTAATTTGTATTTCATTTTAATTTTATGTTCATGATTACAATTATTAAAGAAGTCACCACAGAAAGTATCCATACTAGCATAGCTGGGTACTACGTCATACTTGGTGCTTTTTGTAGTGAATGTGTAACTTTTAGTTGATGATTTCTAACATAATTTTGTATAAAAGATGCCTTATATGTTTTGTTTTTAACTTAGGAAATGTTATTATATTTAGGAATGTACATTCACATGTAAATAAATTACAAAATTGTTCGTTACAAATGCAAAAGTTTGAAAGCATTTTTTTTAGGGTCACTTTTTCAAGTGTTTGTTACAACTCGTTCATTTCTTAATAACTGAATAGTTGTAATATTTGAAACTGTTTATATTAAGAACAAAGACCAAACTATAGCATAAGTTAAGATTTATAGCCCATTGTGCCTCAGGTGTCGTCGATATTGAAGTACAAAATGTGCCTTTTTTTGTGCCTGTTTCGGGTCATCTTAAGTGGCCCACATTATTGTAGAGCTTGTGGTGTGAAAAAACTGTACGTAGAGTTGTGTTTTTTTATTCATTATTGTAAAGTGTGTTATCGTAAAGTAAATGAAGTAAATATTTATTGAAATAATTGCTTAATTTTTTAATGATTACATTTTATATTCAACAAACTAGAAAAAAATCGCTTCTAGCAATTTTACCACCAAATTTATAACATACCAAAAGGGTGAACGTACACATTTACACATATTCTATTAGCTTATTTAACAATAATTCTAACAACATATCATATTATATAGTTCCCATATATAAATATTAAGATATTGCCATTTTAATGACACGCGCCACGTAGGCAATATAACACTCGTTTAGGGTTTGACAGATGCGCCAAAGCGGCTATTTTGGCCCGGACTGCTGAGAGGATAAGCCTCTCACCTTCGCTTTCTCAAAAAGCAAAGACAAACGCACTCCTAGACAGTTCAGGCACCTCGATTACATTGCTCAGTTTACAACAGACCTGAGATACCTACCTGGTAAGGAAAATTTAGTAGCTGAAGCACTTTCTAGAGTTGAGGAGATCACTACAGCCGTGGACTACGATGATCTTGCACGAGCTTAGGACAAATATCATGAACTGAAAAATCTACTCCTTCATGGCTCTGCCCTGCAACTGAAAAGGATCAACATTTTAAACGGTAATTTACCTGTCTATTGCGATACTTCTGTGCAACCGCCAAGACCTTACATTACTCCACAGTTCAGAAAACAAGTTTTTGAGACACTGCACAGCTTACACCATCCAGGAAGATCAGCTACTGTGCGATTGGTCTCACAAAGATACGTATGGCCAGGGATACGCAAGTATTGTAGAGAGTGGTCAAGGCAATGCTTTTCATGCCAAAAGAGTAAAATAAACCGTCATACCATATCCCCACCTTCATATTTCCTCACTCCTTCGTCGAGATTTTCCCATATTCACCTCGACATCGTAGGGCACCTTACTCTGACTTCTGGTTACAGATATTGCCTTACCGTCATCGACCGATTCACGCGATGGCCTGAGGCATACCCCATGGTGGACATCACGGCGGAGACCTGCGCAGCTGCTCTAGTGTCCGGGCTGGTTAGCCCAATTCGGCTGTCCTGCACTGGTGACTATAGACCGCGGACGCCAGTTCGTGAGTCATCTCTTCAAGGCTCTCACCAAGTTGGTTGGTGCGCGTTAAACACAAACGCGCACAAACTCCTATCACCCAGCTGCAAACGGCATCATCGAGCGACTTCATCGGCAACTCAAGGCGGCAATCATGTGCCACACATCATCACAGTGGACGGAAGCCCTTCCACTGGTTCTCTTGGGCATCCGTAACTCGTAGAAAGAAGATCTACAAGCTAAGCCGGCAAAATTGGTATATGGTCAAACTCTCATCTTACCAGGCCAATACCTATCTCCAATAGACGACTACACTACGGCAGACATCACAGAGTACGTAACACGTTTATGATGCTGCATGGCGAAACTCACTCCCAAGCAAACAGCATGGCACCCAACAACGCCATTCTATATACCACGTGACCTCCACACATCCTCGCACGTCTTTTTACGCCGAGATCACGTCAGAAGCCTACTCGAACCACCCTACGACGGACCCTTCAAAGTACTAGACAGGCAAGCCAAGTACTTCACCATAGAAACAAGAAGAAAGAAAAACAACGTCTCTGTGGACAGACTTAAAACAGCTTACATGGCCAAAGAAACAAAAGAACCGGAACCCAAAGTCCCTACGAAACCAGCCATCAACAAGGAGAAAATCACGCGTAGTGGCCAAAGAGTAAGATTTACGGATTACTATCGACCGTAGTTACGGTCTGGCCAGGGGGGAATATGTGGCGTAACTCGCTTCACTTAGCTATGAAATTAACTATGAGAACAACGTATCCGCTGTAATGTATCCAATATATATGGACCCGTCCGTGACCATGAGTGCTTTAAAGCGTTCGAAACGTCGGGTATTTAAAAAGTTAAATATGCGCGATAAATTCCATAAAACTAGTATTATTTCAATGTGTAGTGTTCGCGTAAATATAAGAAATAACTTACATTGTTCTCGTAGTTAATTTCATCCTGTAAATTTGTTTGTAGTAAAAGTTGTTTGTTATGTGGCGGCGCTGTCGGCGCGCCGCAAGCGAAACACACCGAAACCTAAATCACGCTATCAAATTTCCGAATCATAAACAGTATATATAGAACATCTCCGAACTATCACGCGGAGTGTTGGCCGCTCCCCGGGCAGAACACCTTGTCCAGCAGATCTCCCCTTTTCCTCCACGGCCACAGTGGTGACCCCGACGTGATCTGAACACGCAACCAACAACCTTCGGAAACTTCAAGCTTCATCATCGTCATAGAATACCCCACCCATTCGCTCCCGAGCAGATATCGTCTGCAGTCTTCATATTCTGCAAGCCATCTAGCTTCACAAGGTTCATCGCAGCACTAGAATAACAATGCTTCCTGTTCCTTCAAGCTACTCTCTGCGCCACAGTGTTCGGCATGGCTCTGAGCCTTACTGCTCGCTTCTGCTTCACGGCACTCTCGCAGATTACTTGCCTTCTTCTCGACTCACCGCAGACTACAAGACAATCTCCTGGCACTTGCACATTCGTCGGCAACGAGGCTGCACTATCGACCTCCGGTCTGAGCAGGGGGGTGATGTGGCAGCGCTGTCGTCGCGCCGCAAGCGAAGCACACCGAAGCCTAAATCACGCTATCAAAATTCCGAATCATAAACAGTATATATAAAACATCTCCGAACTATCACACGGAGTGTTGGCCGCCACCGGGCAGAACACCTTGCCCGGCAGGAGATCTCCCCTTTTCCTCCACAGCCACAGTTACATAGAAATAACATTACTTCATTCGAGTCAGTTAATAATTGATTATTTTTATAACTTCTAGTAAATTAATATATTAAACAATTCTATAGTTTTTGTAGGGTTGTCCACGATACAAGATGCCTATTTGCGCTGCGCGAGATGACCTGAAATCTTAACCTGTATGCTCGTAAGGCGACTTTATTCGATCCGCCGGTTGGTTCGCGACGTAAAATGGCGGGAATTGCAAATTTTTTGCTAACTTACAAATTTTGCAATATTTATGGATAAAACTTACAGGGATTCTTATAGAATGTATAAACTATCGAATAAAATTATTTTTAGTTGCTAGAAATTGTAATAAAGTTCATAAATTACCCTTTATAACATAGTAGTTGTAGATACTTCACTTTTAGTCTAAAATTACTACTAATTTGAATTCTACATGTTTGTTTTTGGAGAAATCTATATGTTCCGACCTAGTCCAGATGGTAACAGGTTCTGGCTTAATTGGCGACAAATTTTAAATTGTCGAAATTTGATTTGACAAGTTACGTGCAGGTGGACTAAAAGGCGAATTTATAAGAATTCTTAAGTGAAAACTACTCGGTACTCTTTAGTTGGATGTTAAAAAGTTTTTATCCTTTCAAAATAACTGTTCGACTTAGTGAAGGGAGTTACAAACAATGTTTTATTTAGTTACAAGTACAAAGACTCGCGTCATATGTCAGTAGGTATGGGTCATTGACAGATTTATAGTTAATGTAATTTAACTGTTAATCATTAATGGTCAACAGGTTTAAAAAGCTGTTAAATAATTAACAGGTTTTAAAACTTCATTTGTTAGCAGTTCTATTCAATCGTCAATTTAATATTTCAACGCTTTCGATCAATAACAATTAACAATTTTGTGACAAATTAATTTTAGTTGATGATTATTGATTTAATAAGAATTTAGATTACTTTTATTTTTATTCAACTGGAATGACCTTTCCTTCGTACTTTTTCCAGGTTTAGGCCTAGCTGTGTAAAAATAGTACCCAGGCGTACTTAAAAGATCATCTGATCTGATTGCATTTACATTAATCATGATTTTTTTTTGTTTTTTTCCCTTTGTTCTATTTACAATTACCTACATATTAAATTTCATAGCCTGCAAAACGGTCTTCATCTAAGTTAACATTTAAAAATAGCAGTTTCTCTATTTTGCTAGTTGTTAGTCTAGTTCTCCTTTGATTGACAATCAGCCCCGATTTGGAGAACATTCTTTCGCACGGCACCGATGTTGCGACTATGTTACATTTTTCTATCTAAATTTTGGCCAAGTTTGGATAAATAAAATTGTGAGTTCTCCACCATTCCAAAGAATTGTTCCAGTCACCAGAAGTATTAGTCCTTGGTAATAAGTCATCAGCCAAATAGGTGTCCACTTCTTTTTTGGCTTTTGATAATGGAGTGCCTGTGATAGAAGGTGCCCCTATTATTTGATCAAAAATATCCCACGGACTGCATTTGTTCCTAGTTCTTGTCGACTCACTTTGATTAGAAGTTTGGGCCAGTGTTGCAGCACCATTTTTGGATATTTCGTTGGCCACGAGTATATACGTTCACGAGGATAATATTAAGGAACACATTAAGAGCCTCTTCCATTTTAGAGGGAGTATCTTGTCATTCCCATTTTAAAAAAAAACATGGGAGTGTGTTGCGGGCCTATGTTCAGCAGAACCTTTAAAAATATGCACGAATGGGGGCCGGCTCGACCGGGGAAGGACGGGCTTCCACAAGCTCAACCTCATGAACACAGCGGGACACTGAAGGCTGCGACACATAAGTGTTGATATTTTTGCCGCATATTCTTTGGTAACAACCACTAGCAAGGAACGACAGTGCACATAATACCTGAAAAATATACCAATAATTACATGAAACATCTGTTTTTGTATGCTAATAATATTATAGGGTCTCTCATTTAGATTGTTATGGTGGAGACCACTTGACTTCAGTGACGTCATAACTGCAGCCGCTTATCTAAGTTATGCAAAGTACTTTTTACTTTCATGGCAGCCACTTATACACAGTTATGCTTAAAGAAGTTCGATTTTTCTATAAAGTCTGTGTTTATTAAATACTCTAAATTCACGAAAGTTTTGACTATTGACGTGGTGGCGGACGCATAAATATAGTATATACCCAGTTTTGTATCAAATTTTTAAAAATTGATATCATATTACGGTCACTTTAGTTTCCTGTGAACGTGTTTTATCGAAAGCTAAGTACACAATAAATGATGGAATGACAAGACTAATCACAGCTAAAGTAGCACAAATAATATTTCTGAACATTAATAAAATATAACTAATAATCATGTCTACATAGAATTATTACGTACATTTCTACACAATAAAGGAATAAAATAAAAAAATATTAAAAGAAAAAAATATAAAACATTTATATTAAATGTAAGTACTAAATACATATTTAATCACTGTAAGTAATAAACAATTTATTGTAAATCATAACATAATATAATGTAAATATTGAATTATGTCGTGAAGCGACAGTTAAAAACTAAAGAACCTAACCTAACAACGAAACAACCAAAAAGAAAATAATTTATTTAAAAAATTGTAAAGATATTTACAGTTTCTTTTATAAAATGTAAAGCCACAATTAAAAACTATAGAACCTAACCTAACAACGAAACAACCAAAAAGAAAATAATTTATTTAAAATTTGTAAAGATATTTAGTTTCTTTTATAAAATGCAAAGCCACAATTAAAAACTATAGAACCTAACCTAACAACGAAACAACCAAAAAAGAAAATAATTTATTTAAAAAATTGTAAAGATATTTACAGTTTCTTTTATAAAATGTAAAGCCACAATTAAAAACTATAGAACCTAACCTAACAACGAAACAACCAAAAAAGAAAATAATTTATTTAAAATTTGTAAAGATATTTAGTTTCTTTTATAAAAATGCAAAGCCACAATTAAAAACTATAGAACCTAACCTAACAACGAAACAACCAAAAAGAAAATAATTTATTTAAAATTTGTAAAGATATTTACAGTTTCTTTTATAAAATGTAAAGCCACAATTAAAAACTATAGAACCTAATCTAACAACGAAACAACTAAAAAGAAAATAATTTATTTAAAAAATTGTAAAGATATTTACAGTTTCTTTTTATAAAATGTAAAGCCACAATTAAAAACTATAGAACCTAACCTAACAACGAAACAACCAAAAAGAAAATAATTTATTTAAAATTTGTAAAGATATTTACAGTTTCTTTTATAAAATGCAAAGCCACAATTAAAAACTATAGAACCTAACCTAACAACGAAACAACCAAAAAGAAAATAATTTATTTAAAATTTGTAAAGATATTTACAGTTTCTTTTATAAAATGTAAAGCCACAATTAAAAACTATAGAACCTAACCTAACAACGAAACAACCAAAAAGAAAATAATTTATTTAAAATTTGTAAAGATATTTACAGTTTCTTTTATAAAATGTAAAGCCACAATTAAAAACTATAGAACCTAACCTAACAACGAAACAACCAAAAAGAAAATAATTTATTTAAAATTTGTAAAGATATTTACAGTTTCTTTTATAAAATGTAAAGCCACAATTAAAAACTATAGAACCTAACCTAACAACGAAACAACCAAAAAGAAAATAATTTATTTAAAATTTGTAAAGATATTTACAGTTTCTTTTATAAAATGTAAAGCCACAATTAAAAACTATAGAACCTAACCTAACAACGAAACAACCAAAAAGAAAATAATTTATTTAAAAAAAATTGTACAGATATTTACAGCTATTATTTTATAAAAAAAAATATTATTTTTTTTATAAAAAAAAGGTATGTGGGTGATGATGGGCTGTAGTGATGATAGTGAATTACAATTTTAAAAAAAAATAAAAGTTAATAAAGATAAATGAGTACGGAAACAATGTATGTACAGGCTATGCCTGTGGTAGATGCACAGCGCCTAATCTAGGTACACGCAGCGCTTGAAGTAGGCACACACAGCGACCAGAATGAGCACACACAACACCCGGAGTAGACACACACAGCGCCCGGAGCGCCGGAGACACGCAGCGTCTGGAGTAGGAACACGCAGCGCTTGAGACAAGCACGCACAGCGGCCGAAGATAGCGCGGGCACTAATAGGTGAAGGCGTAGGCGTGGCTAGGCGACGACTTCAGGAGAAGGCAGAGGCTTGCAAGATCCCGAGGCAGTGCGGATAAAGCCTTTAAGAGGTGCTTCTCGTATCAAAGCTGAAGTGAGAATCTCTATTGGCCGATTCCTCGGCTTTTATACTTTTTGACGGATCTGGGATAAGAACGAGAAATTATTTGAAATTATTTAAATTAAAAGCAAATTTTTGTAAATGGCCAAGAAGAAAAGAGTATTTTTTGAAGTAAAAACATCAGGCCGGTAACGATATTTGAATAAAAATTGCCATGACAACCAGATAAACAACGATGTCAAAACATGTCAAATTTTGGTTTTAGGCTCGTAATAGAGAAACGGCAAGATTTAAGTGAAAAATGAGATATTATTGATATAGGAAAAAAGGTAGCGCAACAGTGCGCACGAAGCCCGAAATTGCAGAGTTACGGAGAACTAAATAAAAGATCGAAAAAGGTAGACTCCATTGACATCGATTTAAAAAGTGCTGATAACGTGAAAATACGACGTGAAAATGATTTGTTATTGTGTTCTTATGGTTTAAAAGCATTACAGGATCCTATGAAAATAAAGGTGATGCAAAATATCCAGTTTTGAGGCTAATGCAGAAAATCAAAAAACAGAATGGAAAAATAAATTTAAAATAGTGTAAAATGATATGTAAATAGCATAACACTACAATTAATAAACCTTTAAAAAGCCTAGCTTAATAATATTTTAATAATAAAGAGTCCTGTAGCTATTAAAGTGAAGAAGCAATAAAATTAACACAACCGGTTAAAAGTATAAATTTACTACAACAGTAAGTAATATATTTAACTGTTAATTTAATCTCTTAAAAAAATTAACAGTTAACTTTTAACAAATAAATAAATTTAACAATTAACGCCATGTCTACTCCGGCGAAACTACTAATATTTCCAAATACGTTGAGGGCGTTGACGTAAATTGACGGCTAATACTAT